CTGGCTGAGGAAATGACAAAGTACATTTCACTGTTATTGGAAATAGACTAAACTAGTTAGGGATTATTAAATATTTTTAACAGACATTTGTAGCATAGTCAAACTTTACGGGCAGAGGTGTTAACCATACAGAATGTCTCTAAGGATAGACCTGGTCCAGGTTCACCTTTTGATCAAAAGAGATATTTCAAACGCAAAAATTATAAAGTATGTTAAAATCTCAAAATAAAAGGATAAAGTTGTCTAATTAACCCAGCAGTTAGATTTATGTAATAATTCTGTGTTACATTACAATACTTGTAAGAAAATCCTGATTTAAAGAGTTGAGTTCTAGAGTTGTTGAAAACACCGCACAGACAGTTTTATGGAACACGGCACATTGATTAATCACTTCAGAAAAACCTCTATTCCATTTAGAATTATTTTCCAAAAGCAACATTTCCAAAAGCAGATGTCTTTTTATTATTATTTTCAAAACATTTATACACAAGAAATGGATATGAACCTCTAATGACCTTCAGCTGGTCAAAGACAATAGTTGGGTTTCCAATGAATTCTTTTTCCCACAGTGAAGTAGGTTAAAATAAACCATGTAATATCAAATATATAGAAAAGTACTGCTAAATTGCACATAACTGATTTGCCATTTATCATTTCATTTGCTCTTGGTGCCTTTTCTAAATTAGCCAGCAACATTTGGAAAGGAAAAGGTGCCATATTCAACAACTGATCTGCTTGCTCAATTATTTCCATCATGTTCATGTAATTATTTCAATATTTTCAAAGAACAGCAACTTTTGATGGTGATATCACATTGAACTATTGTATTATTGAGCATTCTATACAGCACGTTGTGCATGACATGTTGCAGACAGACCCTAGCAATAATTTATTATCTAAATTCACTGTAAGTGTATTTTACTGGTCCAATGAGTATATTTTACTTGGTGACAAACTAACTGATAAAACATCCATTAATGAAACTCAAGCATCTTACATACAGTATACATACAGTACACACTGAAACTAAATGAATACTCTGGACTGATGAATTTCAGAACAAGTGGAGATTAATTACATGCTGAAAAGTAAAAAGAAACAAGAAAAAACATTTTAGCCTTCTTCAGATGGAAACACCACCACTTCACTCTCCAATTTGACTGATTGCATTTCACTTTTTGGTTTTATAGTTATATTCAGAGTATAATTTAACATTCAAGCAGTTTGAAGAGCACAGCAATTTCTCCACTCAATGAAGCATATTGTTTTATTGTTTTAGAAATTATTTTTTGCAAACTCATCTTGGAAACATTAATTAAAAAAACTAAAAATACAGCTTGTAAGGATCATTGGTTTTTAAAGTCTGCTAACTATCATGCTAACACACATAAATAGCATGATGAAGTGTCTTTGCTGATTCTATTTTATGATGATGACTAATACAATTTTTCTTTTACAATACTAATCACAAAATATTTCGACGATTAAAACAGATTGTGTTTCTTTTAAAAAACAGTGTATTGCACTCAATTTATTTTCTTAATTAACAGAATGCACATGAATTTAAACTGAAACTGTTAGCTTTTTTTGCTCATTAGTAAAACTGAATTATCACCATGGGAAAATTTTGTATATTTGGTCAACTTGAAGAACTGAAATACAATAGACAAAGTAATGAACCAAAAAAGCATTCTCATAACCAGGCTCAAAACCAGAAATCTGACAAACTAATGACATTGTATTTTTTCTCTAATATTAATCATAGACCTCTTGAAAAACTACATTGGTAATCCAGCGGAAGGCCAACAATTCTCTTGAAACAAGCACTATGAGACAATCTTTACCTCTAAAACTATACTGTGAATTGTTATTACACAAAAGAATGTCAGTTCCAAAAGACCAGCAAACAAAATTCAGTATTTGGCCTAGGATTAAATTATAGAACCCAAGACAGACAAAGACCAGAAACACAAGGCACACAGTGTTTCTGGTGTAAATCAGACAGTTTTTTTTTTCCACAAAGGAAAGATGTTTACAGATTGCTGAACACAGACCTGGAAGCACCATTCTGTACAACAAGGACATGAATACACTAGAGACAGATATGATGGTAGTAGTACTATATATTTGTGCAGTTCTTAAGACAGAGCTGTTGACGTGAATGATACAGCTCTACCTCAACAGCTCAGAATGGTCATCATTCCACTTCAATGACAGCACTGTATGCAATTGATGAAGATACAAAATTGTTGTGACCACTCTATTTTAAAATTATTTACAATAACTGTATAGCAAATAATTTCTGAAATAAATATTGTATTTTATTACCCTGTATGGGATATTCAGTGGAAGCAGACTAATAAACACAATAAAGGGACATATACATTTTAAAACCAGAACCTCATATATATATATAAAAAAATCTGTTCAATATTTTTCAATGTTACTATTGACTGTCATAAGACATGTCATAATGACTGACATTTAGATGGAAGGTTACACCTGAGTACAATATGACCGTGACAAGTATCTGTATGTCTAATCTAGAATATCTTTTTTCTATACTACTCTCTTTCATATGTTCTTGTCTTATCTTTCATACATGATTTTAAAATAAAATTAAAATTCCTGTTCCAGTTAAAGTGCACTCTATATGTGTGGTTCCATATTTCAGAAACAAATTATAATACAGTATGTCAATAAATTCATATAAATACCACCACCTGGAGAAGCTTTTCTACCTTTACTGCAAACCAGTGAAGAACACTGGTGAATCATGCCCAATTTCGGCCCTCAGATACTCTGTTAAGGTAACTTTATCATGGACAAATGCAAGTAAAATTACTGGGAAGAGGATTTTGAAAAGAAAATATTTTGCCCCACAGCAAGAAGGAACATACAGCAATCTAGCAGATGAAAAATTGTTCATTACCACAGAAAACACTGAATAATTTTGTTTTCAAATTACCTCCTATATAATACCTTACTTAAGGAATGCATTGTGTTTTCAACTTGTCATCACTCCCATTAATAACAAAGGTACATGCAGCAGTGAAAACTGACAGGAGAGAAAGTGATTTACCCTGCCATTGAAGTTGCTCTCTCCAGGGAGCCATTGCTACTGAATCTGAAGTTAAATGTGGCTAAATAAAAGCTGCTTAAATATTATATTTGCATGCAACATCCGGGAGGAAACAAAAAATAATTCTCAATAAAACATGTGTTTTTCATAACTACCGTGGCCAAAGTGTTTTTTTTTTGTCAAAGCACTCACATAATAATATATGCACTTACAATATAATTTATGTGAAAACATAGTGCAGAATAAAAAGAAGTTGTAGAACATTATTAAAAGTATTGCACTGTTATGCAACAGGAAAGGATACATTTTGCATGGTTTAAAAATGTATTTATTGTTTCTAACCTGTTTTAGTTAAGAAACTATTTTTAAGAATCTCTGTATTAGGAGGTTTACTGATTTCCATATGCATAGTAGATAGCACTGAGCACTCTTGGTAGATATCTCAGTTTCCTAAACTAACATTCTAAGGACAAAATAAATAAAAACAAGAGTAATTAAATATTAAAATGTAGTGTGGTTAACCGAAAACAAAATTACTAATACTTTTTTGGAAATAATTTCAGATATTTCAATCGTTTTCAAGAAATACTCAGCACCTGCTGTAGTTACAGAATCTCTTGCATTTCCAACTGTAGAATAAGTTAACAATTTAGCACAATGCTATACAATACACAGCAGTTATAAAAGAGTCAGCTGCTCATAAAACCTGAATTGGAAGTCAAGTGCTACATGACAGGATTAGTGCTCCTTTTATTCTCTAGTTGACATTTTTAATATGGCTAACAAACTGAAAAATTAAAAAAGTAACATAAAATCCTCTGCTTTCCTCATGTTTCCCTGAACTCAGAAGATGCTAAGAAAAGATTGGTCAAATTCTGCAACTCCTATTCACAACATCTGTTAGTTCCATTGACTAACTTTATCACTTGTTTTCAATAATGTAGTATGCTCAAAAAATCTAAAATCATCCAGACATCAGAGATTTTCTGAGGTATGATTTAAATATTCAAACAAGCCTTCCCATTTGCAAAAGGAATTCGTTTTCTTCCAAGGTTTCATACGTATTTTTAAAATAAAATGAAAATGCCTGTTCCAGTTAAAGTGCAGTAAATAAGTGGTTCCTTATTTCAGAAACAAGTGATATCTTAATACGCCATTAAATTGATACAAATGTTTGTTAATTTTCTAAGAAAGCTGTATTACTTGCATTCTGGTTATTGGCACATAGGCAAGTAAGAAAAAACATTGTTTATATGATGGGAAAAATACAATGCATTTGCAAAATCACCGTAATTAAAAAAAACACATAAAAAACAGAGTTTTCTACTGTATTTGAAAATGTATAATTTCCACAAACGAGACAGTTTAGTTCCTGATGGGATTTTTTTAAATTTAGGCAAAATAAATAAAAAAGTACACACAACACAAACAAGTCAATAAAGTAAGGTTATACAGTGTTTTAAGTATTCACTTTTTCCAGGGAGCATATTCCCTTTGGTATCTCTGTTACACCATCCGTTCAAATTGCTCAGTTTAGATTCCATTTGCCCAATTAACCAGAAACGCAGTTCAAGTTCTGCAGTATCAGATGTTTGAGTAACAAACTACTATAGGTGTGGGATGAGCCACAATTATTGTTTTATTGCAGAAATTTTAGGTAAAACAGCTTTCTTGTTCCCTATGTACTCTTGGAATAAACCTATTTTGATTACATTTTAAATGTTTATTTAACCACCAATACAAGTGGAGCAAAACAACATGTTTAAAGGAAAATACACACATAAGACATGGATGTGCAGTAAAGTAGGGTTAAAACAAAATCTGCATTTTAGATGACAATTGCCAATTGTTAATCTGTTTCTTCCCTAAAATTGATTATTGTCCACAGAAATTGAATTATTGAAAAGCAACCTCTTACCTTTGTAGCCAAGCTTGACTCTAGGAACCGTCTGCTTAACAGAATCTGTTTGAGGTAAGGTCAAAAGTAGCATCCCAAAGAGACACAAGAGATGAAATGAACAAAATTGTCTGCTTCTTTCAGCCACATCATGTGCCTCCGTTTCTGCATCCATGGTCTGCTTCTGTTACAATGCACTCAGGTACAGCACTGTTAATAAAGAAACAGATTTCAGGTTACATTTCACCCAAGCTTTGATTTTAAAAGAGAAGTAGAAGATGGGTACTCTTTGTTCCTATGATCCCAGCACTGTGGAGCAGGGGTTAGGGCTCTGTCCTTTTGACTGTTAAGTTGTGATTTCAAGGTACTTAATGCAGATAGCTGAATTGAAACTATACATATACCCATATGTGCTTTAGTGTATGTTGCTTTCAATAAAAAAGTGAGCCAAATAGGCTTTATAATAATACACAATAAGCACTTCCATGATTCAAGAGCATGTTATACTGTACAAAATTCTGATAAACCTCATCTCACTTCACTTGAAGGAAAACTATATAAACCATTTCAATAGCTGTGTTTAGTTTTGAAGTTTCTTTTTAGTTGTTTTATTTTCATTCTTTTTTAATTGTTCTCGTTTTTTTTTATTTCACAATTATATAATTGTTATAACCAAGAAGTGATTGTAGTCAGCAGCAACTGTGCAACACTGATAACTTTAAAACAAGAATTAACTATCTGTCGCACGAAGGACCTAAAGGCTCTTTGAGAAAGTATTACTTAATGATGAAGTAGTAATCTGAAGTACAGTTTTTCAGGTATGTTCTGTGTTGAGATAATTCCTTTTAAGCAAAACCTTTCCATTACTAAAATAAATGACTTGACAACCGATTCACAAAGAAATCGAGTTATACATGCAGTTTACACACCAAATATATCATTGTATATTGTAAAAAATACACTACAAAATCAATGTAAGGGAACCAACTAGGTTCTAATCTGCTGCACAGTCACATACAAAGTATACATAATATTCTGAATAAAAAATCTGTAATTAAGAAAACTGCTTGTCTCAAGGTTACTGCAGAATGCATTTTGAGATTAGGCTCTAAACTAAGTTATTCTTAAGCAATACCATTCTAAACACATACATTACACACATTTATATTCAAATATTGAAACAAACATGTTAAATCATTCATATACTTATAAACCAAATAACAGTTTGAATAACAGGAAAATTTACATTTTATGCCAGACATTTTCACATGTAAGAATGATACTGCTGCATCTTCAGTGTTTAGAACTTTACTTCATCCACTTATTGATGTGCTGTATCACGTATATTTACATTTCACAGCTAAATGAATTAAGGTTCTGCGATAACAAACACCCAGAGCAGCACCCTGCTACCAGTGCTGGTCTTCTACTGATAAAAAAGACAGCTTGTTTATCAGAAACAAACTGTTATCTGTTTTTATATGGCAAAGACAAAATACCAAATAAAAATAGATTATATATCATATTTTCATGTAAAGGACAGCTGACCTAACAACAAAATGCAAACAGTATTGTTTGTTAAATTACCGAGTCAAGAAAGACAAAGTTATTTAAAACTGCTACAGTAGCATTTCACTACATTAGAACAAGTAATAGGTTTATTCCATGCTGAAAAAAAAAAAAGAAAGAAAACACAACGTTTCGGCTGTGGAGCCTTCTTCAGGTGTTTAAGCAAAACCTTAAGCAAACGTTTAAGCTAAACTTTCACTATATAAGCCAAGTAGTAGGTAGTAGTGACAAGATTATATGCTTTTTGAGTCTAGTCAGAGAGAACAAGTTTCTACATTTTCATGCTGGAAAAGAGCAGTCTTTTTTCTTTCATTAAGGTCTTCTTCTATGTCACTTTTCCCAACAAATGTATTTGACACTGCTTAATTAACATTTTCCAATGGGACAGCTAATCAAGCTATGTTCAAGTCCAGACAAAATACTAAGGGTACATTTTCACCTGAGGTTACAGCCACTTTTTTTTCCAGAGCTTTTTGTTTGCTTTATTAGATGGTTCAAACTACTACACAAGGGAACATCCGTTTATCTTTAGTGTGTCTTACTGGGGATAAGAGGATGTAGAGCTACAAATGATTTTTGTTAGTAATTTTTTTTATCTAAAGAATGTAAACAAACAGTTCTACTCACTTTATATCTCTGACAACGGTGATAAGGGGATGAGTGTATAAGATATTCCCATGACCACCTACTGTATGTGCTGCTGAGAAAGTCAACATAAGTTTATTCAAAATTCTAATCACTACTTTTAAAGTTCCATGTTTCATTAAATTAGAAACAAGTTTTCTTAAGTGCCTTTCCAGAAGCACTTGGCAGTAATAAACACAATAAGTAATGATATACTTCCTAAAATATTTATTTTTTATAGATTATGTACAATTTTTTTTTTAAAACATCAGAACAGATAGGACAGATGGGGGAAACTGAGGTACTGTATAGCACTTCAGAAAGAGCAAACAAAAAACAACCTTAACCTAAAGTAATCACATGCTTTAGAATATAAATGATTCAAACATAAAAAAACACTGTAAAGGAATAGGCTTTGGAGTGTACTACTGTACAGGCCTAAAAATTCAAACATTATGTGTTAGGCAATATTATGTAATTACTGTATCAGGAAAAAGTATATACAAGTAAAAGTAGTTATTGTGGGAAATGTTAACTTTCCTCAAATGGCTTGTGATAAATCATAAAGGGATTTCAGGAGCAAAAACTGAAATGGGATACATGGCTAATGATTGCTTCCTTGTTTAGTTCTTTTTTTTTGTGTGGAATGCCAAGTATAGGAAATGGTTGTATTGGTCAGGTTTCTCAGACTGCAATTAAGGAGACAACAGATGTTAATTATAGGTTGTCAGCAAAACTCTTTAGTCACAAACTAAAGGGACAATGCCCACTAATTGGATATGTACTTATGTTGCTGCCATTCATATAAAGGATAACAAAACTGAACCTAGTAATTTGAGACCAGTAAGTCTTACTGTACTTCTGTTACCTGTATATGTAAGGTTATAGAAATGAACCTAATCATAAGCAAAATAGCGGATCATCTGTAATAGGATAGGCAATAGGATTGATTCTATGGCAAAGTGCACAAGGATTTAAAAAAGTAAGGTTTTGCTTGAAATATTACTACTAATGGACATAAACAGAACAGATGATATTTTATATTTAGATTTTCAGATGTTTAGTAAAATTCCTCATAAAAGATTAATTCAGAAAATACAGCTGGTAGCCATTGATGGAAATGTATATGAACTGGTTAATATACAGGAAACTGTGAGTACAGATAAGGGGTGAATGTTCAAATTGAGGTGATGCAATTATCGGCAAACCGCAGAGATTGGTATTAAGACCCTGGCTTTTCCTGATTTATATCAATGGCCTAGATTCTGGAAAAGCTAACTAGTCAAGATTGCAGATTATACTAAATTAGGAGGATTAGACTAAGCTGCAGAGGAAATTAAAAAAGATTTAAACAAAATTCAAGACTGTGCAAACACCTGACAGGAGATTTAAATGTATTACTCGGCACATAGCAAAAGTAAACTACAGATACAAAAATTAGAAAGACTGAAGTTAAAGATGTGTCAACATATACACATCTTCTAGACAATGTGGGCAAGTAAATACAATGTTAGAGTTTAAAAACTTTAGAATTTAAATCAAAGGATATGATGTTAAAACTCTACATAGAAAGAGCTAGTTATAAATATTGACACTATATACTACAAATATTGAGTACTGTCGCTCTGGAAACAGTCCAAAGGGCAAACAGGTACAATCTCAAACTCAAATGAAGTGAATGTTTTAGTCTTGCACAGCAAACACGATGAGGGGACTAGATTCAAGTATTAAAAATCCTAAAAGACACTGAAAACGTTAACACTACGAATATCTTCAGAATCAACAGTGAAACAAACAAGGAGAGAAATGGAAACTAAGAAGAAGTGCTTTTGAAAGTGAATCAATGTTTTTTTTTAATTGAGAAGATCAGATGAGATCTTTATTTTTAGCACTAAAGAAGGTTCACCTAACACTTCAGGTGCTAAAACACTGAAATCCAAACTATTACAGTACAAATTATATAAATCAAATTCAAGGTGTAAGGCCTTGGTAGTCAGAAATTTAAAAGTGCATCTTAAATGGTTTTAGTTTCAGTAATGGTAGTACAACCCCTCAAAGATCCATTAACTATAAGTACAGTATGGTGGTACAGCTACCTAGTGGTGTCCTGGGATTAATTCCTGGGATCCTATCTGCATGGAGTTTGTCTGTTCACATGGGTTTTCACTAGGTGCTCTGTTTTCCTCCCATAGTCTGAAGACATACTAGTAGGTTAACTGGCGTCTGTGTAAATTGGTCCTGGTTTGAGTGTGTGCATACAGTATTTGTGTCTATGTGTCCCATGCACTTGGACTGATGTCCCATCCATGATGTATTCTGTCTTGCACTTTTTGCTAACCAGGACAGGCTCTGAATCACTGTAACCCTGTATTAGATAAACCAGTTAGCAAACAGATGGAATATTCACTTTTGAAAACATAATGGAAAAATAAAGGGACAGAAAATGGATGTTTTTGAACACAGCTACAAATTCCTTTGTGAAAAGTGGATTATGATTTTTTTTTTAAATAGAAACATATGCATACATCAGTAAGTCATGAGCAAGAACTCAAAAATGTCTTTTGATGTCCTGCAATAGGAAATGAAAGTTATATTTCTTCTAATTTCGCTTTTTTGTTGTCAGCTGCTATTCTCTTACATCTTTAGAAATAATTCCTTTGTGGAAAATTATTTTTTTGCCCAAATCAACAATCACTGGGGAAATTTTACAAACATTGTAAGGGACAATCAGCATGTTCCCTAACTCTAATTTCAATAACAGTCATAAAATTGACCAAAAGGTCTTCTTTGTACGCTTTAATTAATATTTTCTCAATGAAACAGGTATTCTGTTCAGGTCAATAGTGTTTTCAAGGTTCTCATTCATGACTACATTTGGTTTGTGTTTCCCTGAGATTATGTTTATTACATAATTCAGAATGTTATAATGAAGACAGCATGCACTCTTATATCTTAGTGAAATTATATCACAAAACAATACAGTGAGGCAAAAGAGGCTGCAAATATACTTGTAAGTT